GAGCTCAGCTGAAGAAAGTGAACATATATTCTGGGAAAAGACTATGTGGAAAAACGGTTAACTTTTTTATTTACTAATAAATAGGAAAATTTATTCATTTTTCTACATTTCTGCCTAACTCCTATATTTAACGAGGAATATATTCCGGAAAAAACGACAGGTGCAGGGATCGAACCCGCGACCTACCACCTACCTCGGACAAGCATCAGACTCTCTATGCGAATACCAAACTCCCCATCCTTATAGTATCCAGGCTCGTTGCTGATTATCATGCCAGGCTTCAACGGCTCCGGAATACTAAATACACAAGGCTGTTTCACCCGTTTTACGTGAAGTGGTGAAAAACGCGATACTCAGCAAACCACCCCGTATCACGTAAAACACATACCACATGTTTTACGCGTTATTCACTGCTCACATGCGTTTTTCGCCAACTAAAATATGCACTATGTTTTTAATATCACTAGGGTGGTGAAACAGCAGTAAGTAGGAAAATCTTCATCCCATTATAGAGTACCCTGGACGACCAGGAGGTCCGATATTGTGAGGCCCTTCGTGAACGCAGAGATAGGCTCCAACACCGTGACCTGACAAGTATCGAGAGAGGAAATTTTGGAAGAAATTCGTATTAGTTTTTATATATTTCAACTCCAAACCGTACGTATATTTTGCTATCGAAAAATATGCACATGGTCACTACATGTGTTGGTGATGACAATACGAAAATTGTGCGAAAAAGTCTCAACACTTCTACCCGAATTCATACAGCAACTTTTATAAATAACGAGAAAGTTCCCAACCTCAGCTGAGGAGAGCGAACATATATTCCAACACTGCCGACCATCACAAACTGCTATGATTGAAAATCATCATCTACTCTAGTCTGAAATTTCTGATAAAATTATACCCATTTTATCTAAATTTCTAATAAAACCAATTTAACTATTACCATTTCAAAATCATCACAAACTACTACGATTGAAACTCATCATCTACTCTAGTTTGAAATTTTTGGTAAACTTATACACATTTTATCCAAATTCTTAATAAAATCAACTACTACCATTTTAAAATCATCATCAACTACTACTACTACTACTACTACTACTACTACTACTCACCTGTTCCATGTCGAAAGTCCATTCCTCCTTGCCAGAGATATTGCCGAGCTAATGCGTCCAAAGCCTGACCAACTGTCCCCACCGGGAACTTCTGCTTTGCTAACGCTATGTGCCCCCTCAAAACTCGAGTATATGCATCCTTCTCAGCAGCAGTAGGAGTACCCAAATGCACGGTACGAGTTACATCAGTCGTGCCTTGCCAATACTGTCCTCCAGAATCCACCAGATACCTTGATAAAAAAATCATATTTGCACGCAGACACAAAAATTTCACACTTGCACGCAGACACAAACATAGGAAAATTTATACATGATCAACTACATGTGTTGGTGATAGTATTAAAATTTTGGGAAATTCTTACGTGTCTACTATAACTCTTATAATTAGCTTCGGAAACTCCTGAGCTCAGCTGATGAAAGCGAACATATATTCCTACTCCAACACTGTATAGGAAACCCCTGAGCTCAGCTGATGAAAGCGAACATATATTCCTACTCCAACACTGTATAGGAAACTCCTGAGCTCAGGTGAGGAAAGCTAACATATATTCCTACTCCAACACTGTATAGGAAACTCCTGAGCTCAGCTGATGAAAGCTAACATATATTCCTACTCCAACACTGTATAGGAAACTCCTGAGCTCAGCTGAGGAAAGCTAACATATATTCCTACTCCAGCACTGCACGCATGCACAAAAATATGAAAATCTGTACATCATCAGCTACATATGTTGGTGACAATTTCGAAAATTATTATTAATTTCTGTACACTTCTACCCGAATTCATATATAAACTTCTACAATCAATGCGGAATTTCCCGAACTAAGCCGAAATTTTCGGCAAAGTCTTAACCAACATTTACTGAAAAAACTCTCAAATGCAGCAAACATATATTCCTACTCCAAGACTGCACGCATGCGCAAACATTTTCCAACTCACATTTCCTTATCACTAGCAGATCTCGCACTTCCCTTCGTAGGACTATAATGAATAACCGCAGCATTCGCTCCAAACGAAGAAATCGCTGAAAAATGTGAAAATCTTGCTATCTTGCAATTCCTCAACGCCCACACATATAGTACTTGTAAAACTAAGCCCGCGAAAATTTGGACTTTTTTTCCTAAATTCTTCCAATTTATCAGCAACATCAACTTCGTCGAGATCACTCCTCTTAAGATCAGCGAGCTGGTGCTCCAGCCAATACCTACAGTGTGAAAGAACCACTTATGCATATCTACATTTTCGAGGTGGTTTTCCATATTGTCACCAACACGTATATTTTCTTACATTGTAGTAGTTTATGATAATTTTCAACTATACAGTATGTATACATATCTACATTTTCGAGATGGTTTTCCATATTGTCACCAACACATGTAGTTGACCATGTTTATACTTCCTTACACTGTAGTAGTTTATGATAGTTTTCAATTATACAGTATGAATGCATATGTAGATTTTCGAGACGGCTGAGTTCTTCAATTTGAGACTAGTACGACTATAGACTACGTAACGCTTCTAAAACGTTGGTGTCAATCGATTCATATTGTTATCATGTTGATATTACTCAAAGTTGACTGCATGTGTTGAAAATTCTGACGAAATTCTACAAAGTTTCTGTACACTCTTATAGTTAGCTTTGGAAACTCCTGAGCTCAGCTGAAGAAAGCGAACATATATTCCTACTCCAACACTGTATAGGAAACTCCTGAGCTCAGCTGAAGAAAGCGAACATATATTCCTACTCCAACACTGTATAGGAAACTCCTGAGCTCAGCTGAGGAAAGCGAACATATATTCCTACTCCAACACTGTATAGGAAACTCCTGAGCTCAGCTGAAGAAAGCGAACATATATTCCTACTCCAACACTGTATAGGAAACTCCTGAGCTCAGCTGAAGAAAGCGAACATATATTCCTACTCCAACACTGTATAGGAAACTCCTGAGCTCAGCTGAAGAAAGCGAACATATATTCCTACTCCAACACTGTATAGGAAACTCCTGAGCTCAGCAGCTGAGGAAAGCTAGCATATATTCCTACTCCAACACTGCTCTACATATAAAATCCGGAAAAAAAAGTACAGAAACCAACGTTCAGAATTTTCACAAATTTTACCAACACATGTGCATATTTTCCATCACTCGAGCTTCACCCCCCTAGTGATATGAAAAACACTAGTAAAACAAGTGGTATGTATATCACGTGATATGAAGTGATTCGCCAAGTATTTTAATTTCACTTCATATCGGGTTTTTCACCACTTCACGTAAAACGGGTGAAACTCCAACAAAACATAACAATTACTAAATGCTATGATATAGAATTTCCTATTTATTCAACAATATATGAAAAACACTAGTGAGAAATATATATATCACAACCACTACATTTAACAGAGTAGTATTACGCTCCACCATATTACATATATCTAGTCTTAGCTAAACCGTCTTCTCGATGAGCCTCTCTCGCGCCTTCACATTCCACTTCATTTTTAATCGCTTTCCACAACACCATAGGGAGTCTGTTCTCATACTTAGCAGCCTCCGAACCCAGCGCACTGTAAACTGCCATATTGCAGGCGTTGGGGTCCAGCCACACTTTTCCGATTGATGAACAGTTGGATTTCAGCCAGGAAAAAACCTGACGAAAATAATCTGTCACGCGCCACAAAATTTTTTCACATTACTTCTTCATAAGGCCGACATTGCACCCCAGCTTTTTGCATAGCATCAGTAGCATCCTTTGTGAAGCGACAAGAATTCACAAAAAGCAAACAAGAGTCTTGTAGTATAACCAAATACGACATGAATAGGGGATTGTACCTAACATAATGTAAAACTAAACTAAAGAAATTCCATTACATGAGTTCGCTCATGTGAAAAAGAAATTTGTTTCCTATGGACTAGCATATGAGCTCTCTAATATCAATTCTGCAAGAAGTAAACATCAGTAATAACTATATCGAGCGAATATAGATTTTAGTGAATCTTTATTCTCATTCGCAAAATATATTCATGAATATACACATATTCATCTACACCACTACAGGAGTGCGAGTACGGTAGCTGTGACTTCACACAGAGGTACGGGTTCACATAAAACATATCAGTACTAACAACAACGACGACGACAAGACGCTAGAGGATACTCCTATTACGTAATACATATAAGGCGTATATACAACGATTATTATGTTAGGTTCTAATGTTATATCACCTAATACCAGTTGTTAACCTTGCAGCAAACATACGGATGTAAGATCTTATGGAGGGACCAACGTCGGAGTACTTAGGTCACGACCTCGTTGCTCCCCCCAACGTGCCACGAGAGATGTGCATTCGCACGAGGACACCTTGGGTCGCCGCGAACGTACATTGTATTAGTCTTTCGATAAAATTCAATAATCGTCATTTTGTAAATTACAATCCCATCAATCACTACAGCAATTTCTTTCTCTCGGTGACTGTCACCACTACTAATAATATAACACTCTAACATAGATTTGATCCCACGACCTTTCTCATAGTCGCCCAACACCCAAACGTCTGGGCTAGATCAACTCATGAATACCGTACTTTCCCCCAGCCTTACTCTATATCACTTCCTCGAAGATTAGTAGTCCATGCGATGACATCCAGAGACGACGCCAACATCGCATTACAATTCTGTTTTTTCATAGCCTCTCGAACTCGTGTTAACTTCGATAGTGTACTCTCTCCAGAATATTTCTCATCGAGGAACAGCACCTACGTTTGAAATGAAATCTTCCAAGGCGAACGAATCAAATTGTTTTCATCTACAGAGTGACACCAGCTTTGAGAAATAACGTTTTCTAGAGTTTGATAACAATGGGAAAAATAATGTTTATAATGGAGTTCACCACCCTAGTGATATGAAAAACACTGGTGAAAAACATATTTTACGACTACTGCATATCACCGCGAATATCGCATTTTTCATCGAGTATTATTACACCACTTCACGTAAAACGGGTCGTAAAACTCCTTATTACCGGATCACTGCCAGGCTTAGGTCTAGGGTACTCTTTATCATCATCCCAGATTGCATCCACCAAATTCTGCTCTTCCATTGCGATTTTCAAACCACTTTTCGTGTAATCCATATAGCTCGCCACTGAGGTAACCGCTGGGTCGACACCGACAGTCACGTCCTTTGCATTTTCTGAAAAAAAGGAAAAAGTAATCGTCGGAGAAATATATTTTCGCTTTCCTCAGTTGAGCTCTGGAGTTTCCAAAGCTAATTATACATGAAAATGAGGGTGAAAACTAATAACTTTTTTTCAGAATTTTCATATTGTCATCACCAACACATGCCAGTGTGGTAAAATTTGCGCATGATCAACCACATGTGTTGGTGGCAATATGAAAACTCTGAGGAAAATTTGGAAAATCCTTGTTAGTGTCTGTACACTAATCTTATACATTCTCCTAATTTGTATATAAAATTCTATGATTAGTGAGGAAAATTTGGAGCTCAGCTGAGGAAAGCGAACATTTTTGGCAGCACCAACACATGTGGTTGACCGTATGCATATTTCCCCCCACACTGAATGCGGATAGGAGATTCAATATCTCAGACGATTACAAATTCCAAACTGTTGTTATACTACTAATATAAGATGTTCCATATGCAATTATCACTAGTCTCAAGAACTCAGCCATCTGGAAATGTAGATATGCATAAATACTGTATAGTTGAAAATTATCATAAACTACTACAGTGTAAGAAAGTATAAACATGGTCAACTACATGTGTTGGTGACAATATGGAAAACCACCTCGAAAATGTAGATATGCATAAATACTGTATAGTTGAAAATTATCATAAACTACTACAGTGTAAGAAAGTATAAACATGTTCAACTACATGTGTTGGTGACAATATGGAAAACCATCTCGAAAATGTAGATATGTAGAAGTGGTTCTTTCACAACGTTAATCAGATGAAATTCACATAAAACAAATGCGAGTTCCAAGGGAGTACTATAATGGAGTTTTACACGGTGTGTTGGAGTGGCGTAAAACTCGGTGAAAAACTCGCGATATTCGCGGTGATATGCAGTAGTCGTGAAACATATCACTAGGGTCAAGAAACTCTACTATATTGATATATTGAGTATAGTGATATGCACTGATACAAGATTTATAACGGAGTTTCACCACCCTAGTGATATGAAAAGCACTAGTGAAAAATATATTTCACGACTACTGCATATTGGGGTTTTCACCGAGTTTTACGCCACTTCGCGTAAAACGGGTCGTGAAACTCCATTATATCACGATCGTATCGAAGCTCTCATGTTAGTACTACTAACATCGTAGATTCCATATGCTGTTCTTACTAAGCAGCCAATCTTTCACTGTGGGAATGTTAGGTTCACGGTCTTTCATCAGATACCACTCCTTTCCGAATTGATTTTGAGCTTGTAAAAAATATCTGCCATCGGTCCACAGAAGAGCTTGTGTCGGAGTAACAACACATGTCCCTGCAGAACCGTCAAAACCAGAGAGGTATGCTACGCGTTCGTCACAAGCAGCGATGTATCTGAAAATTCATACCACACTCTCAACAACTTTTTGAGATCAGGAGTTTTCTCACTATATCGTGAAAATTTACTTACGAATTTGCGTAAAATTCAATAAAATTTCCCAAAATTTCCAAACGATCATTATAAGTTGACTTACTCGGACTGATGAGCGTCATCGTGGCGAACTATATAAGCACCGAATTGCTTCTCCTCCATCACTTTACGGAATTTTATGAGTCTCTCCGACAGAGTCTCGAGTGGTACCACGCGCGACATGTTTATAACACGATTATATGACGCTACGGAAAAGGACCGTAAAAGCGTACGAGATAACATCAACTGTGAAACAGATGGTAGTGAGCTTGTATATAATCGTGCGTGAAATATTCACATTCTCGTATTTATTCCACAATTGTCAATAACATAGCGACTCGAATGGTACCACGCGCGACATGTACGAGATAACATCAACTGTGAAACAGATGGTAGCGAACTGCATGTGTTGGTGATGACAATACGGAAATTCTAAGAGGAAATTTTGGAAGAAATTTTCATTAGTCCTACCTGAATTCGTGCATATATTCATACTTCAACAATAGTAAATATACGGCTTTTTATAATATCTAAAATTACAAAAAGTCGCCCTGCATTTTCTATGTTGCAGTTATGCGACGAACAATGTGGAAAAATATGCACATTGTCATCAATCACATGTGTTGGTGATGACAATATGAAAATTCGGTGGGAGTTTTGGGAGCTTTTGTTCGTTTTTGAGCGTTTTACCTGAAAATTCGTATATGAAGCCCTACAGCTGAGGAAAGCGGCGAAATAATATTTCGATAATAATATTTAGAAATATATACTCCCTCTCCTCAGCTGAGCTCAGGAGTTTCCCTGAAACTAAGTATACCTACGAATGCAGGTAGAAATGTATTGGAATCAATTCCCGAAGTTTCCTCACAATTTTCATATTATCATCACCAACATATGTTGCTGACCATGTGCATATTTCTCTACACTGTTGAGCTTTGGAAAACACCATTGAGTACAGATTACGTTCCACTACATTTGGACATCATCGAACACTTTTCGGGAAGTCACTATTTAATATTAATCTTAAGTAGCTTCGCTCCGCTAAGCCCAGTTTCTTATTGCTATTAGATTTCAACTAAAGAATGTTAAATTTCGAGATGATCTCAATCTTGACTTAGAGAGATATGCCTTTTATGAAAATGCACGCACGCGCACGGTATATTGCAGAAAATGCTCGCGCCGTGGATCGAACCCGGAACCAAATCGAACTGTACTCCAATTGAGTATATATAGTTTTTCCTTAGTCGCATTCCGTTCAGCGTCTCCTCTACTGCGTTGAGCATTATGAGACGCTTCTAATACAATATCACTTATGCGCGTCAACGCCCGGAAGAACTATGTGAGGAAATATTGTACACAAGTGTCTCCTGTAATTTTAGATTCTTGTGATACTTGTCCCCTTTGCTAGCCTAGCGTATACTTTATGATTACTGTATTGATCCTAAGTTAAGAACCACTTGTTAATAACTCTTGTTGAGTTATCTAATCCTAACAAACTAGATCTCTTTTCGAGATTGTATTATCTTGATCGAACTGTTGACAGTGTCAACTGTTAACGTTGTTACTTGTCAACGTTGTCACTATCCGTCGATTGAAAAACGTTGATTGCTAACACGGGTGTTTTTCCGATCACAATTCGCTATGTCCCGTTCATTGTCGTACAGTCCAACCTACTATCACTCAGTAATACGAATATCCATGTTAGTTGTCATCTCATTAACTCGATAATTAAACTCCTGAAATTCTACCTATCAGTCTACTCCCATAATACCGGTAAAGCAAAAGACCTAGCACTTGAGTGGAGAGCTTACATCAGAACTCTCACCAGCAAATCAGCAATTCCGCAAATCAGAGTGGGAATATGCACATGGTCAACTATGTGTTGGTGAAAATTGTTGGGGAGAATCTTGTTAGTTTCCGGGAACTTCTACCAGGCTTCGTGTATGAACTCCTCGAATTAGTGAGGAGATTCCAAAGCTTAGCTGAGGGAAGCGAACATATACTTCAACACTGTCGCAATTAGCGGTAAAGAAAACGCAGAAAATTGTGATGGACACTCAGTATAATATGCAGCCGAGGAAACCCATGGGTTCTTAATCTAGAACTAACTCCTGCCAAGGCGTTTTCAGTCTCATCACGAGCCTACTCGGAATCGACACGCTTCGAGCGTGTCCTGATTTGCAATCGCGGGCTCGTCACGACGAGGAGTCTCCTCAGAGGAGACATGACGCCGACACTTGTTACTTCCATTGGGTGTTTCCAACATAGCCTCCTCCAGGTTTACTGAATCATTCAGCTCAACAGATCATGAATAACGAATCGTTACCAACGATCATGTATTAAGGAGTTCGAGCAGTATAGTAGGGGCTTGCATAACGCCGCTCAGGATGTCAGGATCGATCGCCCCGAGCGATTGAATCGCTGTGATTCGCCCTTTCGAGCAATCACCTTCTTCCAGTCTCCTCAGACGAGACGCAAACCTTTCCAAATCATTTCACTCAAGTGATAATACCACTTAGCTTCTGTTCGGGTGAACTGGAAATCCAGTCAGTTGTATTAGTCATAAAATCATGATGAATGTCAATTATGCGATTCGTGCTGCGACTTGTGCCCTCGTCCTGCATGGTGGACTCGCTACTGCACCCATCACACAAGAGGACATTAGTAACGTAAGAAAACTTGTCAGCTATCTCAATCCTCATGAGCTCACCCTGGAATCCATCGCGATGAAGTCTCGCTTATGGTTCAGGCTTTGAGCATAGCCCATCCGAGGCCTTCGCTGGTGCCGGGCATACTTCCCGTCCCCGCAAATGGCGCAGTGAAGGTCAGCAACGGCGGGAAGAAAATTTCCGTAAGACTCTTGAAGACGAGTTTATCTCAATTCGCGCCTCGGCTCGGTCAATGAATTCTCATTCAGAAAGCGTCGGAAATTGCGGGACAACTTGGATCGTGGTTCACGGGTATCCCGCGCGACTTGACGGTAGGGAAGACCTTCTAGAGGCTGCTGCAAGCATGAGGCTAATGTAGGTTCAAGGGCCCGCTGACGAAGGCCCTGAAGGCCCGCATGAAGATTACAAAATATCGTCATCTGGACTCTATGCCATCTTCGGCATGGTACCTTCGAAATCAGCCGGAGAGAGAAAAACCGATGGTGTACTTGCCTTGTCTGAGCTCAGATGCTTAGCGAAAAATGAGTGAGGTTATCGGTTACATCGGGAGTTGTGTCAGAGCTAATGTACTGTTCAGGAATGGCGAGGTATTCCACCACCTTGCCCGAAAGATCATCCCCAGGCAAAAAATAACGTAAGTGGCGGGAGTTTTGTCATGTTCCACTGAATACTCGTGTGGAGTGCCGCACTCCTATTGGGGAGATGCTGCGTCCGTTGGCTTTGCTTATGAGCTCGAGGAAAGCGAGTCAAGAAGCGAGCCGATGGCATAGATCGACCGTTCAGGCACTTCAATTTAGCTTTCCCTTACTGGCAAGGGGAGGAAGAGTTGGGGAAATATCAAATAGAAGTCGGATCTCTGGACCACTCGCGTCTGAGACATCGGTCCAGGATATTCAAGCCAAAGAACGTTATGAAGCTTGCACTAACGAAGCTTTACTTCGGTCTAGCTGGCGCCGCGCTCAAGCGCAAACCGAATAGTCCACTTTACGCGAAGACGAGCTTAGGTGACTTAGAGGAGCCCACAGCTGCACATTGGTTGATCACAGAGCTGTGTGCTGATTCCACGGTAAACGCTAGCAGGTGTTCATTCCGCCAATTTCAGTGCTTCTTACCTCAGCTTTACAATCTAGGCCAGAACGTGGCGGCTGCCCTACCCGAACCCGAATCAGAATCCCTACCCGAATCCGAAGAAAGCGATGACGGCGAGGAGTCTGAATGAAGCTTGTCAAGAATAAGCTATTGTGATCGAGAAGTGACTTGAGAATAATGAGACATGTTATGGTTGTCGTTGTCGTTGTTGAAATGACGAGTAATGCAGTCTGCTGTGGTATGACTTGAGTTACACAAAGAATCATGGCCGCACACACCATTCGCAAGAGCATAGTTCATGTATCCTGCGAGGAATATGAAAATACTTCTAAGCTTCATCGTGCACTGGCCAAACCGGTGTGATCCCTCCACTGACAGCTAATAACTGTCGGC